GGAACAGCTGGTAGTTTTGAACTGCTGACCTTGCGGTTTGCAGCTCGATTTGTAACCACTATGCTACCAGAGCTCCTATTCACAGTGGGCTTATAGAACCATGCAATCCTGTCCTGGTGTCTCTTCTATGTCACGCAGTGTTTTCAGTCTCTGTTGCCCAGATAGTGTGTCCTTTATTGAAGAACACTAACACTTTGTGAAGACGAAAGGAGAAAAAGGGATGCTGAGAAAAAGACGGGAGTGAGAAAGGAAGGATCATTGAGAGAAGGAGGAAGGTGATGATGAAATGAGATGGGCAGGATGGGGTCGACGTGAAGAAGGGGGTCTTGCAGTTTCCTCCATGGCTAGTTCACCCTAGATCCTGAAAGTGAATGGACAACATCCACCACATATTTTTGGTTCCAGGAAATATTGAAGGCCCCAGGAGAGACTGAGAAAGGTGAGTGACCAGTCTCACATCACAGTCTGCCGCTCTTTGTGACCTACTTAATTATATGCTCAAATCTCCTGGGAAAGTGAGTCACCCTCTCATTTACTAATCTGGTGGGCTTCCTTCTACTTAAGACTCCCTGATATTCTCCAACTTCTCACTCCCTCTAATATGGCCTCTGATTCCTAATAGTCTTTGATCTTATTATTCTCAGTTTGTTTTTACTGAGCTCTTTCAGAATCACATTTCCTGCTCAGATACTGGAGGTCTCAGGACTCTTACCTGCTTTATCCTTGTATGTCTCCTTTTCCAGAATCTCAAGCTGGAAGCTGCATATTTTGGTCTCCAGCATTTGTTGGATACCAAGGTGAGGTATTTTATTCTTTTCTTAATTCCTCAAACTCAAATGAGGATCTGGTTATAAATTTGATAGAAGCCCCCATCTCTCCCTCTTTCCCTCCCTTCTCTTCTCTAATCTCTGCCAAGTTTTACTGCGGATCCTTTTGTAGTCCTCATTTCCATGATACTTGGTACCCGTCAGCTGCCATGTCCTTGGTAGGTTGTAAGCATGCAGAGAGCGATCTCTTTTATGCTTTTGGCAGCTTTGCCACAAGCAGCGTATACATCCCTAGTTCTAACAGCTGTATCAGTGATCATCTTGCTGTGATTCCACTTGGTCACCGCAATGATTACTACATTGATTTTATTTTTCATTTTCCACAACAGAAATGGAGGATGAACAGCGCATGCGCAGCAGGGTGCCGTGGGCCTCCAGTCTTGCCTATGGGGAGTGTGAGGTGACCGAAGCCGCCGGCTGAGTCAGTAGAGGGCCACGGAGGGAATAGGAGCGCATGCGTGGAAAACGTCGGGGTGGGGGGAAGGTGGAGCTCGTGGCAGCATCGATAACGCTGGCCTGACAGGGCCAAAGGGACCAGAGGAAGTTGGTAACTGAGACTTCTTCACCCACACCTTCTTCTGACTGACCAAATTGAAAAGCCCTATAAGGGCCTCGAGTCCAGGGTGATGATGACTTGGTGACTTCACCCAAGGAGCCCAAGGATCTGAGGGAGAAGGGGATAAAGCTGGCAGCCACTCATGGAGCCCCGGGGGCTGAGGGGGACCACCTGGGATCGTGGAGCTAAGGAATCAAATAGGCCTTAGGGGTCCCTCCTGTTTTATCGAATCTGAGTTCAACCCAATCAATCTGTGGTCCTCCCTGCCTTCACAGGGACCCAGCCCTCAGCCCCTGCCGTTGGGGAAAGCAGGTGTCGAACTCCTGACCCGCATCTAGCGACAGCCGGGCACCAGCTTCCAGGGAAGGAGGTAAACGGAGCCGAGCGACCTTCCTGGGAACCCCCGGGGGACGCGGCCCTAGAGGAGCAGATACTGGGGGATGAAGTGCGGGCTTCACAGGGTGGGTCCCTCCAGCACTCCCAGGGGGAGGTGGGGGGGGGCGCTCTCAGGGTCCGAGGGCCTTTGCAGGCGTCAGAGGGGACCACCTTGTAGAATGTCTGCCAACACTCAGATCGCTCAATGAACCATCAGATTTACCACTTGACAAGTAGTTGTTGTCCCCTCAGTATTCCTGGATGTGTTCCTAAAAGTCCACTGTATTTTTCATAAATACAATCTTCCATTTTAATTGGAACACAGAGTCACGGTCCATACTTGCTATTGAAGTATGAGAATCAGAGAAGTTTTCCTTTCTAGTTTGAAGTCTGTTGCATTTCCTTTACTAGCAAGATCTCCAGTAGTAAAGACAATTTGTACTTTTTAAGTAAACTGACAACTATTAGGCACATGCCTCCAGCTTTCTCAGCGGGTTTGAAATTTGAACAAATTAAGAATTCTGCTTGCAGTAACTTTCCCCATTTTCATCAAAAAAGAAAATCAAACCCCAAAGTCACGATTGTTGTTGCTCTTCAGTGCCATTGAGTCGGTTCTGACCCATAGCGACCCTGTATAGGGTTTCCGAGGAGCAGCTGCTGAGCTTGAACTGCCGACCTTGCAGTTCAAACAGCTTTGCAGTCTGACACATTAACCCGCACTATGGGACATTTTAAAAGGAGCTCTGGTAGTGTAGTGGTTACAAATCGGGCTGTGAATCTCAAGGTCAGCAGTTCGAAACTACCAGCTGTTCTGCGGGAGAAAGATGAGGCTTTCTGCCCTGTAAAGATTTACAGCCTTGGAAACCCTGTACAGGGTCGCTATGAGTCAGAACCGACTCCACGGCACATAACCAACCAACCAGTGGGACATTTAAAAGTCTGTATCACTGTTTTTGTGTTGATAAACTGAGGCTCTTGATTAGACTTTCTGTCTTGAGCTATTGTGACACTATTTTCTTTTGCCTTTCCACCTAAGTTACTGGCCATTTCCTCTTTCTCTTTATTTATACAAGGTGACTTCATGAAGATCATGGAAAATGGGATTCAGACATAATAGAGTTTTTCCACAAACTTTTTGAATTACTGTCATACATATATATTGTGTGCATCTAGTTGACGCTTGAGTTTATCAAATTCATTTTGTGTTAATAAACTGAGGTTATTCAGCGTTTGTTAAACTATTTTCTTCTGACTTTCCTCTAATTCCCTGTTTCATACAGATTTGTAAGTGTTCTTTATGTATGTATTGTCAATGTTAAGTGCCGTCAAGTCAGTTCGTTAACTATCACAATAGCCTTAGACCTAAGCATAACCCTAACATTAAATGAAGTCCTAGTCCTAGCCTAAAACTAGCCCTAGCTCTAACTCCTTACTCCTAGCCATTCCCCCCAAATAATAAATAAATAATATGTAACTAAAAAGTAAAAATAAAAAGGTAATACTAAACACAGAGTCCGATTGAAGGGGCACCCATCAGCCAAATCAGGGATCATTCCAGCCTGAAAATAAGTAATTTAACAGATGAGAAGCCATAGACTAAAACAAGAATTCATGAATCCACTTTGATGTAAATATAAAAATGAAAAAAATCTTTCTTCTAGTCAAATGCAAACTAATAAATATGTAAAGAATGATGGAAATAGAAAGTCATTTGATACCACTTGTTGTTGTTGTTAAGTGCCGTCGAGTCGGTTCCGACCCATAGCGACCCTGTACAGGGTTTCCGAGGGTGTAAATCTTTACGGGAGTAGAAAGCCTCATCTTTCTCCCGCGGAGCAGCTGGTAGTTTCGAACTGCTGACCTTAAGGTTCGCAGCCCAATTCGTAACCACTACGTTGATACCACTAGCAATAAACAATTCAGGTAAAAATCATCAGTGGTTGCTAACCTAAGAGGGTGAGAGTTTCAGGAGGAATAGGGTAATTGCATAGTGTTAACATCTCTCCCCACAAGATACTCATTAATTACAAGTGGAAAAACAGTACCTTTACATTATTTGAATCTATCATAAGTAGTAAATGTCAGTCAATATCATGTTTCTCATGATATGATAAACAGAGAAGTTAACATCACTTTTGTGGTATTTCTGCCAAAAGTATGCAACCAGAATCTAATTATGAGGAAACATCAGACAAATCCAAATTGAGGAACAGCCACTAAAAGAACTCAGCTGTACTAATTTCAAATGTCACAATCAAGAACATAAAGAAAAAATGGGGGAAATGAAAGTCTTAAATGTCAACTGTGATTCTGAAATTAAATCAATTTTTAAAAAAATATTAGCATAGATTTCAGTGTATTATCCATTTCTGAAATCTTAGTATTAATCTTCTGGCTTTCTAATTGCTGTTTTTGTATGGTTTCCAGTTTTTCATTTATTTTAATTTGTTCTTTTTGTAGTGTTTCTGAATCTTCTAGTTTGGACTGTGTTTTCCTTGATTTTATTTGCAGCTTTCTTGATGTTTCCCTTAATCTGTTGAAGGTACCTAAATATTATTATTTTAACTTTCTTATCAGTTAGTTCTGATAACATTTTTGCTATAGTATTTTATGACTGCTTTTTGATCACTTGTTTGAGGCGCGCTGTCTTTATTTCTTTGTGTAAGCTGAAATTGTCTATTTCTTTGAGATAGTATGATATCATTGTATTTATATTTAATTGATGAATGTGTGTTGGTGTGTTCTCAGGCACTCATCACCTGTCTTCTGATGGATGTGATAGAGACTGGATGTGTGAGCGCAGTTCTCTGTTTGCTGTTTGTGTGGCATAGTTCAGGATGAATTCACATGCATCCAGATGTGAGGATGGTACACCTACCTCCAGACCCCAAGCAAAGCAGAGGCTGTACAGGAAGGGGTGCCACTGGCCACTGGGTTGGTGAGGAAAAGGGACCAGCCATGCCCTCGGCTACCAGGAGGGCACAGGAAACAAAGGAAACTTCTCTTCCCCTTGCAGTCAACCTCCAGCGTAGTCAGGCAGTTGTACCAGCAAAAGTTCAAGATATCTATGTCACTCCAGGTCAGCAGACAGTTCATCCAGTTTTCTCCTCTCTTGCTGTTCCTGTTGAGCTGCTGCTTCTAGTCAGCACTCAGTATACCTCTGTATCCTAGTCTCTGAAGCTCAGGGTTCCAGGACCACGATCCTTACCTGTTTGACTTATTCTCCCATGTCCCTGTTGTACAGAGTCTTCTCAGCCTACTCTGCTGTCTTGCCCCAGAAGCTCATGAAAAATTTTAATGTAGTAAAGATAGAACTAGAGATAGATTTATCATATTTTTCACATATAACACACCCATGTAAATGACACACACATACATAAAATGCACATAACATATAGGAAATCAATGCAGGACAGCACTGCGTGACTCACAGAAAACACATAGCACACACATTATTTGTATTAAATACAGTGTATCTTAGTCTTGTTTTTGTTTTTTTAAAAAGCTCTGTCATTGAATTACATTTTCCTACACTATTAAGAACTCTTTGGAAGCAGTGTATCTTGCATTATGTGTGACAACATGTGAGTCAGCTGTGCCAGTGCTGCCTTGGAGCCCACCTCTACTTTTGTACAGCATGGTCCTTCCCCTTCTCAAAGAAAACACCAGTTCTCTATCTCATCCCATCTTCCACACCCAGATTTTTTTCTCTCCTTTTCTTTGTCCATTCTCTTGTAGAGCATTTGACAATTCAACAAAAGATCGAAGTGGTGGGAGCAGAGAGAGAAGAGTGACCTAGATATGAGGTAGAGCCACCATCTTTTTGTTGGGGGTAAAGCAGTGAGGGGAGATAGACAATGAATAGATGAAAAATCAGAAGATCATAATGTCAAGTGGTGAGAAATGCTATGAAGAAAAAGAAAAGTAGGTAGGATGGAAATGGTGATGGGTAGGTAGCTGCTATGTTAGATAAGTGGACAAGGAAGGCATTTCTCTTGAGCAGAGACCTGGGTGTTTTGCAGATGAGAAACTGAAGCTCAGAGAGGTAAAACAGCTTCCCGTAGAGTCTCCACTGAGTAGTATCCAATGTGTCTGGGCGGGGCTGATGAAAGGAAATGCAGATGGGTCTCTTGTGATACAATAGTGAATAATTGTTATCAGGACTGATTGTGAGGGTTGGAAATGTAAAGGTAGACGTTTTGTAGCAAGGAGGGGAGTGATTAACTTTTAAGTCTAGGAGCGGAGGTCCCTGGGAGCATGAAGGGAGAAGAGCAGAGAGCGGGACCCTACCCAGAGAAGCAGTGATGCCTGAGATGGAGGCAGGGATGATGACATCGAGCGATGGAGCGGCTGGGGACTTTAGACCCAGAAAGGGAGAGAGGCTGTGTGCTGAGGACCAGAGGGGGCAGGATTGCAGGGTATACCCTTTGGTTCCTTAATGATGCAAGGAAGGGATAGTAACCATGGCAATGAAATGATATACGATAGGATGAATGTAAAGCTAATGTTGTCCCACTTAAACTATCACATAATTCACAATAAAACATTTTTAAAAAAAACAAAAAACAAACAGTTTCTCCAAGGGTATAAGGTATATTCTGGGGTATATTAGTTCCTTTGACTCAGAAGTCCACTATAAATAGTAGGTCTTTGACTTATGGTAATAGATTTTGTCTATCTCTACCCCTGTCCTTTGTATTATAGCATTTCTAAAAAGTACAACTTTTGCAAGATTTTTCTGTGTTGAATTTCTGTGGTGGTAGAGACAAAAATGAAAAGTTTGTTTTACGAAAGTGTTGGGGATGGTTTGGGAACTCAGTCCTTCCTTGGGTCTAACATCTGAAAGCTATTTATTTTTATGTTCTTAAGGTCTATCCAGAAAAGCAGCCCTCCCCTTAAAGAAGCTGGAGCTTCCCGAGACAACCTGTCTGGGATGAATATAGAGTCCAAGATTTCAACAACC